TCCGGAAACTCTATACAATTGGTATGTTATCAATGATACAGTAGTCCCCTCCTCCGTTTCCTCCCCCATATGAACCAAATAGGTGTTAATGACCCCGCTAGAACGTGGCATAGCAATGACGTACCTATCCTGACCAGGTACGGTGATCACAATAGACCCATCCATAATAAATAACTTGAGCATGGCAGTGATAACCAATCCATCCCATGTCATAAGTGTGCCTGTCCATGACCAAAAGATTTGCTAGAAATCTGAGTCTACTAATATCTAGTGTCACAGGTCCATCCTATATGGCAGTATTGCCTAAAAAAAAAATATCCTAAGGTCTATTGTATAAGTGTATCACCAACCAATTTATAAAAAAAAAATTCCCTGTTTCTAAAAATTCCATAGAGCAGAACACATAAAGTAAACAAAATACTCCAAAATCTTCCCATTTTAGACTATTGTTCTATCCTAGGAATTCCTCCTTCTAAACCAAACCTACCATATTGATTTACAAAAGTTCTCTCACATACTCCTTGGTAATCATCCTGTCTTAACATAATGTACTACAAGCCAATATCTGTTTGCCTGAGCAAAACCAATCATCCCACTGTGATAGACATTTATGAGCCCAACATACCCATTCTAATACAGCTTAATAAAATCATATGTGTATAAATCGCCAAAAATGCCATCACAAAACACAATAAAATAGCCAAAACCGTTAGGTCACTTTATTAAGAACTTTTCCAAACCACAATTGTCAACCCAATAACCGTAAGGTATTCTTTAACATAATCCTAATGTACGTGATTAAATTCGTACTACATTCTTACTAATACCTCCTCCACGACTAGTAATTATAAGTACTCTTAAAAGAGCAGTCATCCTTGAACTCCGGTGCCCATAAATTGACATAATTAAAAGCAAGTTAAATATCAATTTGTTCCAACACAAGCATGGTTATTTTCAATTGTCAGAGCAATTAAATTTACCCTTCCATCCGATCTAAACAACATATAAGTTATTTAATTTCCAAACCATCCACCCTCTTAGCATATGTAGATATAAGATGTATTCTGAGATCTTCCTAAGTCCATTAAACCCATTTAGATTAATTAAAATAGGTTTAGAAATAATTCTGGGCAATTAAAACCAAAATACAGGTCGCGGCTGAGTTGCCAACTTAGTCGGCTGAGTTCTAACTTAGTCGGCTGAGTTGGTGCTGAAGTCATCTTCTTCATCTGTTCAGCTTCTGTAAACCCTAAAACTTCATTGTTAAAGCCTCTAAGCTTCAGCCTAAGTGCCATACATCCATACTAAGTTATTTTAAGGGTTTTAGTAGGCAACGATTCAAGTTATTCCACAGTTCATGCATAAAGATCTAAAAATAAAGAAATCACGAATAAGTATATACAATCATGAAACTCTCTATTTAAATCCGATTAAACATGCATGATCATTTTGTTTTAGCATTAATTAAGCTCCTGGAGTCTAGCTAGGCATGCACAGAACACAGATTAAAGGGAAAGAGTAGAACAAAAACATGCCTTTGATTTCGGTCCAGAAATCTTAAACCTCTGTCTCTGAGTTTTCCGTCAACATTCGAGGCTACCGTTCAACACCTCCGGTACTCTTGGTTCAACCCAGAAGCACTCCACTCCTTCCTCCTTGAACCTCTCTGTAAATCACTCAAGCTCACTTTCTGTTTCTCTGCCTCTCACAACTCTCTGTATCTTTCTGTTATGTGAATAGGGTTAACAAAACCCTTGGCAGATGTATACTTATGTATTTATAGGCTTTATTTGAAACCCTAAATTAAATCATAAACCAACTACAAGTCGGCTCAAACCCAGACAAGATGTATAACATAAAACCCTAATAACTAAACAGCTAAAATACATTTAAATCACAAAGCCAAAACACGGCCAAACGGTTAATTAAAAAGAAAACAATTATTTAAATAGCCACATAAGCACATAATTATAACAGTAACTAATTCACTTAAACAAATTATCAGTTAAACAAAATAAATAAAACAAATATAATCAACTAATTCAATTAAATTAACACATAATCAATTAAACAAATAAAATTGCAACTAAATAATTAAATAAAATGCCAGGACTATCCTTTTAAAATTTGGGATATTACAAAACCTGACACATTTCAATAATTTATGATGATCTCTGCAAACAACTGCAAGCTTATCACCGAATGTCACTTCTATTACGATGACTGCCTAGTCGCAAAGCTTATCCAGGGGATGCTTTATATTTACATTCACGCCTTTTGAAAAGAGTCGTCCTATGAAAATGTTATTGGGAAAAATTAGAGTGAGACACAGGTTAACATCTCTACTATAAGAAACCCTAGTTACCTTTGATCCAGATTAATCATGTTAGAAGATCCTCCACGATATATGTTGTGTTGGAGATAGACTTTCCTGCACCGTTGACTCTACGTGATTGTGTCATCAACCAATTATATCTTATCAGATATGTAAAAAGTATTTATTTTTTCCTGTGATAGATTAAGTAGTGAAAATTTTAAGAGCTAGATTTTAAGGACTGAAGTTTTGAAGTGGTAATTAAAAATTAAATATATTTTGATATCTTTTTTAATTTTTAGTATTCAGTGATAAGAGAGTCACTTAAAATTTTATTCTATTTTAAGTGGTGCTTACATTTTGAGTGATATTTAAATTGCATTATCAAACGCATTTAATGGAATAAGTAGTTAATCTGTTCAGAATTAAGTATTGAATTGAATTATCAAACAACTACATGTCGGTATTTGATCAGTTGGTGATATATGTCACCAATACAACCGAATGAATAAATATTTCTCTTATTTTTGAGTCAACAAACTTGATCCCATAAGCACGTTGTCATTGCTCGATCAATCTTTGATCCATATTAATTTGCCCATTGATTTGTGGTTTGATCGACTCTGGCTCATTGCTTTGAATCTCTCAACATTACACATATTAGGGTCAAGTATAAAAAACACCCCTAAAATATGCTTACAATGCATATCACACCCCTCACGTGCAAAAAATATCCCTAAAGTTTCAATTTGGTGCAAATAAGTCTCTCTGACAAATTTAAACCCTAAATTGACTAAATTACCCTTATTGAACCATTTTATAAAATATATAAAAATAAATGATTTTGTAAAATGACCGAAAAGGACAATATTGGAGGATGCTTCTCTCGTGCAAAAAACACCCCTAAAGTTTCAATCTGGTGCAAATAAGTCCCTCTAACAAATTTAAATCCTAAGTTGACTAAATTACCCTTACTAAACAATTTTATAAAATATATAAATATAAATAATTTTATAAAATGACAAAAAATGACACTATTGGAGGACGCCAACAATGGATAAGTAAAGATTAAAAAAAATAAAAGTATAAAAGTATAAAAGAAAAGTAAAGATAAAAATAGAAAACAAAAAACAAAAATAAAGTGCAAGCTAAAAAAAAATAAAGTGTAAACAAAATTTCTCTAAACTTTGAAAACCAGTGCACGCTGATATTGGAATTTTTTTTTTTTAAGAGTGTTGGTACGAAAAAAAAAATTAAGAAAAAAAATTAATAGAAAAGAATGAACTAGAATATCAAAAAATTCAAATCCTTATTATACAAATTCTCAAAGTTTAAAAAATATATATATTTAGAGATATATATAGAGAAAAAAGTTTATATATATATATATATATATATAAAAGATAATTTGCACATAACACCCTATACTATGAGATTAGTAGCATATATACCTCTTTGGACATTTTCAGAAGAGTAAAATGGCAAAATGGGTATTATAACACCAATTTATATCCGAGGGGGTATTTTTGCACAATGTAAAAATATTAAGGATATTTTTTGTACACTTTTACAAATAGGGAGTAAAAGTGCTACGCAGAGAACTCATCCATCTTGGGAGAAAATTGTTTTGTTTTTTAGAAACTAGCAATTTTATAATTGGAGGTAGATGGATCAATATAATCTTAAAAATCTGAATATAAATGGTCAAATAAATGACTAGAAGCTACATTGCATTTCACTTTCCAAACTCGTCTATATTTCTCTTCCTGAATTTTCTCTTGCCGATGTAACATCAGACTAGAGTATATATTTGAAATTATGGTGTCAAACCAATTAACTCCAAAAGACTAATGTTACTCTAACATTTGAATCCAAACAATACTCCATGTAATTGCATTGGATGATGCTCTTACTTTAACATTTGAATCCAGACAATACTCCATGTAATTGCATTGGATGATGCTCTATGGACTGCATGACACACACCCCCTCATAGGACACTTATCATCGGTAATAAAAACATGAGAATGCAGATTCGAGTACAAGGGCATTCAATTTTTTTAAATAATGCAAAAGTTTTGTTTTGTTTTGTTTTTTGAATTTTGTTTTTTTTTTTTTTTTTTGTTATACAGTTCGAAGGACTTACTAACCATTTAGATCAGGTATGGTGATTTGGCATATGCAGACGTAAAACACCCAGTGTTACGTGAGAAACCTTCTCATACTTTGTTGACATTTGAATTTTGTAGCAATCACGATTTTGGTGTCCATCATTGCTTAATCTTTGATGGATTGAATCATTATGTTTTTGTAAAAAAATCATTTGATCAAAAACCTTAATTCTCAAAAACATGTTCAAAAGCAAGCATAATAGACATAGAATAGATTGGTTTAGATTGGTTGGTTTCGATTGTTTGGATGTAAAATATTTTTTAAAAAATATTTTTTTATTTTTTGATATTTTGTTGTCTCAAATTTAAATAAAATATTTTATCAAAACTTAACAAAAATATTCTGAATTTTTTTTTTTTCCAGACCTTTGCCAGACACCTAAAAACAAAATTAAAAAAATATATCTTACTAAATATCATAGGGAGTCTTATGTACATTGGTATGGAATCACTTACAACAATCTTTTCAACTGTTTCTAATTTTTTCCTTTTATTTATTTTTCTTAGCCTACAAATTCAACAAACCAGACAAGCCTAAGTTCATTTATTTTGAGCAATCATTCAAGGTCCAAAACCATAAAAGTACAAATACCACAGTATCAATAATCTAATATAATAACTGCAGTTGAACATAGCTGCAAAACAAGTGATCACACAGCTATCTCCAACTAATTAATTCACAATCTCAACAGGCTCGAAACCCTTTGCGATCGATACCTTGACTGCATCAAGAACCAACTGTGTCTTCCTACTAAGGGTTGGCCACTTCTTCTCCGGCTTCAAGCCCTTACTCTTAATACCATTAACCAGAGTAGCAAATTCTGTCACCATGAGAGCTTCCTGAGGAAGATCGGTCGTGACAATGTGCTCAACCGGTATCGGTTCACAGCCTAGAGCGCGTTCCCCAAACTTGGAATTCGAAGCTACGAAAAACGGGCCAACGTTCTCTTGAAAGGGAACAACAAAGTCATGAACACGCAAATAACCCTTTGTTCCAAGAGCAGTTATGTCCATGCTCAAATTGGTAAGGAAAGAGCAATAGAAGGTTGCTACTCTCCCGTCCTCCCACCGTAGAGAAGCTCCGCATGAAAGAATCACCCCTGCTTCATTGAAGTCCGGTTCACGCAAAGCTGTTAGTGTTTTGGGCAGGTCATAGTCTGCAGCCCAAAGACTTGCCCTGATGCAGTACCATCCAGCATCACCTAGAGCTCCATGAGCATCGAGATCAGGCTTCACGCGAATGTCATTCTTAAGAAAGTCTGCGCCAGCATCGTATGTGAAGGATGTGTGTAACTGTGGAAATAAAAAATAATCATCTTCAGACAATCCCAGAATGCAGAGGAAATACTAGCTTAAAATTAAAATTGAGCTAGCGTGAGAAAGAAGAATTGAAGCACAAAATGTGAAAAAGTTTATGCTCTTTGTTTAAGCTTCTGACCATGATTGCTAACTATTAGTCATGCTAATTTGTTTTCTATATACATCAACCACATATAATTTAATAGAAATTTTTTACTGAGTCATAGTGAGATCAAGTAGTAAACTAGAACTTCCAAGAAATGTATATTTATGTGAAGTGCAGTCATTAGCTAGAAGGCTATCGTTACAATCTCATGCATTACACATATATGACAATTTCGACACCATGAAATAGGACAACCAAAAACAAAACCGCAAATTGTTGAAATGCAAGCCTAGGTCATCATTTAATCCACCAAAAACTTAGCAGACTACTACCCTGGAATAAGAAAGCTAATTAAACATGATATATTGGCGAGAGATATGAATCTGTAGATCAACTCCAGATGTTTGAGTTTCTAAACTATTTTGTAAACGGAAATGAGATAGAGGTTAAAATAACATTTGTTTCCCCCAAAAGTAAGGATTTAACAGAAGGGAAGATGTAAAGAAAAGAGGGATTTAAGACCATATCTCTCCTCTTCAAATGCCATATTGGTCAATTTAATATCGTAATTTCTCTTTCAGCTGGCAACGTTTAGTTGATTTCTTGTTTCCTTTTCATTAATAATTTTAAGATCTTAAACTCGATTAGAGTTTAAGCCAGACCAAAATGTTGGAAAGAAAGGATAAAAATTGAAGACAAAAACTAAAAAGCCAAAGGGTAAATTGCATTGACATCCCCTTAGGTTTCGGTCAACGCATGTCTAAGGCATTTTCAACAATGACACCCCATATGGTTCTAAATGTCATATTTGCCTCTAATTATTTAATTTAATTAATATACAAAATATCAACCATGTTAATTGACAAAACTACCCTCATCATTAAGCCTATTTTTCTACCTTAATCTTTAACTCTCTTTTTTTAGGACGTGGCTGCTTTTTTTTTTTTTCTCCTGTTGTAGTGAGTCTGGGTTGGCCATGGCTATTTATTATTAATTTTTTTTCCTACTCTGGTGGTGGTGGTTGTGGTGGTGTTTAGGTTATCAAGGTGTTTCAATTTTTTTTTTTTTTTTTTTTTTTCTTTTTTCTATTGTGGTGGTGGTGGTGGTTCTTGTAGTGTCTGGGTGTGTTGATAGTGTTATCTTTGGTGTGGTGGTGGTGGTTCTGGTGGCGTTTGTGACGTATAGGTTTGGGTTCGCCATGAGTGTTTTCAAATTTTTTTTCTATTGCGGTGTTTGAGTGTGGTGGTGGTTATGGGGATGTACAATTATCTAGCAATAAATTATTTTTATTTTTTATTTTTTATTTTTATGTTGTGGTGATGGTTATGGTGGTACAAGTATTATTATTTATAAACTATATTTATATGTATAAAGAAATGAAGATGTTAGTTTGGTCAATTAAATTTAGTTAGAAGGTTAAGGGCCCGCTTAGCATGTGCTTTGTTTTAGGCATTTTGTTTTTGGCTAAAACAGAAACAGTATTTTTGCTATAGGAGTGTTTTGAAAAAAAATCGGAAGCATGTTTGGAAACAATGTTTTGCTGTGAAAATGTCAGAAAACAGAAATATGCAATACATGTTTGGTAGGTTATGCGTTTCAAGAATTTTGAAAACAAAACATGTTTGGTCACTCCAACTGTTGCCAAAAAAAAAATAAAACAGAAACAGAAATATGGAATACGCAATGACTCCTCAAAATCAATATATATAACATTGCAATATGTTGCTAATACATAATTAATTTTATCAGAACCAGAAGCAATTGATCAAACAACTCAAAAATATACATTTACAAGCAAATATAAATAGAATAAAACCAATTTCATAATAACTCCTCATTTGATTGATTCAAACAAACTAAAACCAGAAAAACCAAATCAAATTGGGGACATTCAAATTCCTCACCTTCAAGATCACAGAGTGAATAACATCAGCATACTTCACAGCTAAATTAAGCGACGCGTAATCGCATAACACCGCACATAACTCCTCGGAACCTCACCGAGCAGGTCACCACGGTTCACCACGATCACCGTCAAGAAGGCGGCGACACTAGACCCCAAAGAATGTCCGACAAAAATCATCTTATACGACAACCCAATTTCGAGCCATAATCGCTTCAGATTCTCCTATTCCTGCCTTGTTCTTCGACAAAGACAACAAAAGAGCAAAGATCGGTGGTCGGTTTAGTGGATTTCAGCCGAACAAACACACACAGTAGAGTCGCCACAAAATTGCCTCCGCTAGAGCTCTCTATAAAACTATAAAATGTCCGAAATATTTTAAGCGTGGTTTATATACGTGTTGCAAGTCCAGTTTAAGTTGAGTGATTTTACTTCCTCCGCTATAGTGATTATTTGGGCCAACAGTACCCAAAACATAGTAAAACACCGAAATGGTGTTTCAACTTTTGGCCCAAAAATTGAATCTGTTTAGACATTGTTGACAACAAAGCAGACCGAACCAAATATGTTTTGGGCTAAAAAATTACTACTGTAGCAGGCCTGCAACAAAAACATATAAAGCAAAACAAATACCAAATAGGGCCTAAATTTGTAATTTCATGATTTAAATGGAGTTGTTGACAAGTCAAAGGGTTAAAAGGTAATTTTTTCAGAAGTCTGGAGGGGTGTGAATGCACATTTTTGAAACCTCGGGAGGTGTCAATGTAAAAAAAGCCATTAACCGTCTGCTTAGTGGAGTTGACCAAAATATCAGGGGTTGTCATTGCAATTTACCCAAATTCAAAATATAGTCTCAATCTTTCACTAAGAATGTTCCTGCAAGATAATTACTGTACTTGTTTGATATCTTTCAATCTCGCTGTTAAAATATAGAGAGCTCATGAGTCTTGTCATGAAGTGCTCTTTTAACAACATTATTCATTTTCAAATTTGCCTCCTGTATTTGAGACCTAACATATTTAGGTTACCCAACTATGAATACTTTTTTGAGAACAAAAAATTGATTTTGGATAAATCTTTGGTAAATTTTTACAAAAATCTAACTATAAACAAATACTTAACAATCATTCTCTTAATCGCCGTGTATAGGGATGGTAATGGGGCGATTTGGGGCGGGGATCACATTACCCATCTCTATCCCTGTTTAATTTTTCACCCTCATAACCACTCCAAAACCCACTTGGTTTTCAAAGCAACCCCCATCCCCGTCCTCATTTATATAATTGGTTCCCCAAAACCGCCTCAAAACAAGGTAGGGCGGGGAGGGAATTTTTGCCATCCCTAACCGTGTAGTTAAAAACTTTAAATTACCATTAAAAGCACTGAAAAGTCAAGGCTCCAACTAACTTCTGATTAAGGGCAAATTGCATAAAATTCTCTTTACCTTCAAATTTTGGCAAAACCCCTTGAAGAAATTTTTGACATAAAACCTCCTTAACTATCAAATTTGTTGCAAACTGATTTTGTAATGATGAAAATACCCCCTAATATAAATTTAAAAAATATTTTCATTTTAGGTTTTTATTCCTATTTTAAAAAAATTGAACTTTGACTATTTTTTTGAAAATTACACATCATTAAAGAGATGTTATAATGACGAAAATATGACTTAATATAAATTTGAGAAAATTTAAGTTTACTTTAAAATGATTTTCATTTTATGTTTTCCTTTCCTTCTTTATTTTTTAAATATAAAAATTTAAGAAAATTTTGAAATTTCATTTCCATGAATTTTCATTTTCTTATTCAGACAATACTTGGGTCTTCCCTTCGGAGGATAAAGTTAATGTGACCCAATATAATTTAAACACATGTTTAAAAGTTTAACATTTCTAAAAATAATCATAACCCATTTTCTTACTTGTTAAACCGAATTTCAAAGTTTTTTTTTTTTTTTTTCCTTTCCAAAAGAATCACGATTATTTCTATACCCAACCTCCATTTGAAATTGAAAAATTACTAAATTTATTTAAAGAATGTACTATATCTATCAAGTGTTGAATAGGAAAGAAATAGGAGCTTAAAATATCTAAAAATTTGATGCTAACCTATATTTAGCTTTTCTCTAGATCTATTTTTGGTCACAGTTATATCTATCTTTTGAATCTCTCCCAACTTTTCAACACCTTCAATTGATATGAAAAAGAATGATTAAAACTTTGTTAATACTACAAATTCCGATTGGGTTAGTTTTATGTCACTTATGAGTTTTCAGTTGGTTTGTATATTATTTTACATATTCAATAAAATTTGAGTATTTGATTGATGTAGATAGACTAGGGTTTCAAATGGAGGTTGTGTATGGAGATTTATGGAGAGAGAGAGATGGGGAAGGGAGGAAAGACTCAAATAAGGTAAGAAAAAAAATTAGGTTTGGTTTAACCGGAAAGAAGTTGAATAATAATCATTATTAAAAATTTTAAAAAATTGGATACGTGTCTAAATTGTATTGGGTCACATTAGCTGGGAGGATAAAGTTCATCCTCTGATGGGAGGACCCAAATATTGTCCTATTCTTATAGATTCACCATTAAAAATTACTAAATTCTTTTTAAACTCGTTTCTAACTTGATTAGAATACACCTAAAACTACTGGTAAAGTACCAAAAAAATCCATGTACTATTGATATAGTGTAAAAAAGTCCATATGTAGTATAAAACCCCTTATACGATTTGGTGCAAATAACCACTTGAGATTTAAAATGACTCTAATGCCCTTATGTCAATTAATATGTTAAAATATACACAATGTAAAATGACCGTTTTGTCTATTTTAGCACCTCATCTTTCTCCTCTCTTCTTCCTCTCAGTTTTGTCTCTCCTCTCCACCTCATCTTCTCCACCTATCGCTGGGTCCGTGAGCTTCAGTTTTGGTCGTCTACGTCGAAACTTCTATAGCGTTAGTCACTGTCGTGGTTCATCACATCTTGTAGCATCGCCAGACTGAAATGAAGCTTTACCGAACTTGGGACGCCGAGACGGAGTTGCCAGTCCAAATCTGGAGGTGCAGGAGAAGCCGGCGGTGGAGGAAAAACCGGCGGCGGAGGAGACGCCGTGGCCAGTGGTGCTAGACTCCCAGACGAGTGCATCGGAGCTGTTAACGAGGCGAAAGTTGTCGACAGAGCGAAACTAGAGAGAGGCGGAGGAGTCCAGTGTCAACGCCACCGGCCTTCCAGATGGGGATGATGTTGTAGGTGACGACGGCGAAGTAGGTAAGGCCCTCGGAGATGAAGCCAAGAGAGAACGTGTCGTTTGGTGAGTATTGGAAAAACGTCACTGAAGTAGGGCACGTGTGCGCGTGAAGGGCGAGTTACATCTATTCGCAGGAGCGTCTGGCGCATGAAGCGCGAGTCAGATGATGCCGGCGGCATGATTGACCGGTGATGAAGGAGTGACCGGCGACAAACAAGGATTGGAATCATTGCTACAGACGGTGGTTCGAAGCGGCGGTAATGGCGTCGAGCTCCACGATAGCGTGGTGAGCTTAGAGGACGGTGGAACTGAGGAATTGCACGGTCGGTAGATAGTGGTTACGACAGCAGAGAAATAGGACTTTGTTCATTTCTGGTGAAGGGGGTTGTTGCAGATGGTTTCAGTGATGTTGTTGATGAATGAGCGGAAGGCAGGGGTAACGATCGGCAGCTGGGATTGCCAGGTGTTCACCACCTCCTTCACGAAACCATCGGAAGTTGCAGGTGAGCTTCCGGTGATCACCACCTAACGCTGGTGCTTACCACCATCTTGTGTGACCCAGCCGGAAAATCATCCTCTCTTCACACTCTGTCTTACCCGGATTCGCATAGTGGGTCTGCTAGTGTTGCAAAACATCACTTCTCTCTCCAGAGGACGTCGCCTATAATGGTTGTGGGGTGGTGGCCTGTAATGGTGGTGGGAGGAGGTGACTCGTTGGTGGGAGATAGAAGGAAGAGGGAAGAAGATGAAATTAGGGGCAAAATAGGAAAAAAAGGGTAAAATGGGATTTTCAGATTTGTTTTTTTGCCAAAAAATGATCAGAACTATTTGCACTTTTTTTTTTTTTTTTTTAATAAATATTATAGACTAAAATGCATATTTTTTTTAAAAAATAAAAACTAATTATGCACGTAATCTATATTACAAGGATTTTTTTTTTCACTTAACCCCCAAACTATTAAATAAAGGGCCAGCACGCCACCACACTAAATTTACATCCTTAATTGGAACAAGGCTTTCTTGAATTGACAAGTATATTTACAAGTCCTTGTCTCGTGTTGATTATTTCTTCGGGATAATGTTTGATGCGATTCTAGAAATCAAATTCAGAAACGAATTTAATAAACAACCAGTTTGTGCAAAAAAATTCTCCAACTTTTGAGGATCAAACAATTGATACCAAAAAATCCCCAAATATCAAAAATCAAAATAAATAAAACAACCAAAACATAAATTTATTATTTTACTGACACCCAAACGCGTAATTATTGAATACCCCGGGATTTCAATTAGTACCCACCCACCCAAACGGCTCAAGGTGAACTTCTTCAATTAGTAATTGAAAAGTAACATACAATAATTCATTTTACTACGATAATCAGTGATAAAAAATTAAACTGACTTAAATTCATCAAATTACAAATAAAACAAATAATAAAACAAGTGGGTGAGTGTGTCTAGACATACCGATTTGAGTTTTCCGATTTGGAGCTTATCCGAAATAAATTCCGTCATCTTAGCCGTCCGAGGATGATGATGCATCCACATGGTGGCGTCCATGAACTGCACGCCGTTGGCTTCGCATGCCTCGAGAATGGTGTCCAGCTCCGTCAAGTGCAGAGCCACCGGCTTCTCCAGAAGCACGTGCTTCTTCTTCTCGGCGGCCAAGACTGCCCAGCTCACGTGCAGGCTGGTCGGGAGTGGCACGTACACAACGTCCACCTCTGGGTCATCCAGCACGACCTCGTAGCTGCCGTACAATTTAGCCGACGCCGGGACGTCGTTCTCGGACGCGAATCTTGAGGCCTTTTCGATTGAACGGCTGTCGATGGCCCAGATGGTGGCGTTGGGAGCGAGCGTAATGGCCCTCGATACCTTGCGTGCTATGTTAGCGCAGCCTAAGATTCCGAAACGTACCGTGGTTTCGGCCATTTTTGTTTTTTTACTCTTATGTTTGAGAAAGCAATATATATATATACAACGAGATACAACTCAAATTGTTGAAATTTTTATAGAAAATATGCCGATGACAAATACCAGAAAGTCATGGTTGACTAGATGGTACCAGAAAGAGAAACATTGATCCACACAGTATATCACACATTGATCCACACAGAAAGAAGAAGAAGAAAAAAGAAAGAAAGAAGCAAGTCATTCAGGTTACTTTCAAAATTTAGGGTGCGTTTGAGTAGATAGGGAAGAAAAGAAAAGAAATAATAGTATAAGTTAGAATAAAAAAGAGAAGAAGAAAAATGATAGTAATAATTTATCTTCATGTTTCGATAAATAGAAGAGGAGAAAAAAAAACAAAGGATAGTTATTCTGGTTTGAATAGGATAAATGAGAGAAAAGAAAAGATAGTGACTAAATTACTGTCTTACCCTCTCATAACCACTTCACACATAATGATATTTTGGAATGTTTCCTTTGCTAGTTCAATGCAATGGGTAAAAACAAATATAAAAAATAAAAAGGAAAAAGCTAGAAAAAATAAAAAAATAAAAATAATGGGTGAAAACAAATTTGTTTCCACTAGAAACTCAATCTGTTCAATCAATATAAAAAGGAAAACTAGGCTACTCGACCAAGTTAATTGTTCTGTAAGAATATTTCTTTAAATATTTCCTTTTGGAAAATCAGGCCTTGTTTATTTTTCTTTTGCAAGAAGAATATTTCTTTAAATATTTTGTTTCAGAAAATCTAGTGAAGGATTCTTAAAGGCATGCTTGCCATTGAGCCAGTGTATCTTTAAAATGGTGTTTGAGTGCTACAAATCTGATGATATTTCTTTCACTGTGTTTGTTGGTGCAGTCAATCAGCTGAGCAAAGGCTGATGAGTTCACTCTCAAGAAGAATATCCTAATTGGGACATAAATGGAATAACTTTTTGTATGTTGATTTGTAGAGGGTATTTTTGGTATTAATAGTTCATCACTTACTCCACTATCCTTTCTCTCCCTATCTTCTCAAATTGGGAGAGAAAGCAAATGATGGATAGCTTTCTCCCTATTCTCTCCACTTAACTCACCCAAACACACTCCCACCCTATCCTTTCTTATCTTTTATTTCCACTTAACCTACCCAAATACACTCCCGCCCTATCCTTTCTTTACTTTTCTCTCCCTATCCCTTCAAATCAACCCTACCAAACACACCCGTAGTACACTGGTGTGAACATCCAGTCACTTCTGTAGAAATAGTGATGCACGTGACTGAAATTTTTTCACTAATTTTAAAACTATCCTCTAACATAACTGTTATACCCTCTATTAAAAAGAAATTTTTTGCATCTATTTGTTTAAATCAAATAATTCAAGTCAGCCAGCTTAAAATTTTCATCCACATCATATAATATGTAAAATATAAGGGAGAGATATGAGATATCCATGATGAATATGTTCCTCATAAATCATATTAATAAAAACCTCTAAACATGTATATGCAAATCAACACAAAGACAAACACGCATACATATACAATCATAAAAAGATGGGGAAAAAAAAAAAAAAAACATGTATTATGGAGCTTGTAGATATTAAAATTTTATGAGTTTTTGTTTAAATAAATTGACTCATCAAATATGGGTCTCATGTTTAATTAAATTATTTAATTAGTCCAAACTTGGTCATCTTAAATTATTTAATTAGCCTAGCCTAGGTAGTTAAATAAAAAGATAATTATTCTTAATAAAATATATTTAGAATAATTATTTTTATGGATAATTATCATAATATAACCAGCCCGACATTATGCCCTTATCAAAAAAGGACGCATGTCGTCATCCTATTAATCTAAGAAACCTATAAATAGAGGTATGAAGGAAGGGGTAAAGAAATTGAGAATTCTAGAAAATCAGAATTCCAAAGAAAAATACAGAAACTATGTCGGTATTCATTCCCAACACCCAAACTTGAAGGCGAAGAGTAACAAGCGCATCAAATCGTGCCATTCTTCATCAACATTCCACGGTGATCAATAACAAGCACATCAAATCTGTGAGTTGTACGTAGTAGAATATTTAGAAATTTTTGTATTTTTAGAAACAGATCTGTGTCTTTCTAACTTTACTTATTTTAGCAATTAAATAATTAATCTCATGCAAGATAAAATAAAGCAAAGTAAGAGTTAGAGATGATACCAGGATTTTTAGCGAGGAAACCCTAGTTGATAAAATATGTCAACTGTTTACGCGGGAAAAAACTCGTGGACTGTGCAGTCTAAAGTAAAATGACCTATTATGTTTGAAACAAAGTACACTGAACTTTGATTTCGGCTCACACCCAATCGTTCTACTAAATACCAATAGCTGACAATCTTCTGGCTTTGTGACATCCCGTCCAACAACAACTTAACCTCAGGCTTATGCTTGATCTTTGTAGAAGAGTAGCAGGTAAATCAAACAACACTCCACAAATGCTTTAACCCTTTCAAAGTGTGATAGCTTTTACTTCTGTTCTTCAATATCTGAATTTGATGTAGAAGTAGATCTGTTTTTCTCTGATCATCGTAGATACAACTATATGATCACAATCCAGATTTGAATAACACTCTTAAACTCACTATGTGTTTATGTGTGTGTTCTAGAAAGACTAACAAAGAAATCTGTTGGATTTTTTGCAAAATAATATTCTTGAGGCTTTTATGAATAATGAAGTTGTAGTGCAAAAGTCGCCAATAAACCCAAAATGACTATCATTGTTTATATATAATTTACAAAGACCTAATCCGTTATGAAAATATAGGAAATTTCATGCATAGGGCTTGGTACAATTATAAACCAACTGGAAAGAAATCAGAACAGGATTGCAAGTTTCCAAAAACCTATAACAAACCCTTGAACCGGTTCAAGTATGGAAGAATGAATTCGAGGTCAAACTTGAAGGGCTTGAACCAGTTCAGAAAAGCTTAAACCGGTTCAAGTCTATCAGACTTGAATCCATGGCTGAACTTGGTAAAAAAAATACCCGTTTTGAAAATTTTTAAAAATATATCAAGTATGGAATGTGTCCTAACCTTTTTAGATTTCTTATTAAAGTGTTGTTCTTTCCTTTCTTGATGATCCCAGTTATGGTATATTTGAATAACCTTCCAATTCCGCAGTCATTGTCGATCCCGATATGGTAACTTGAAATTACAACTTGTGATGACCGTGTCATCTTTGTCCTTTTTCCGACATTCAATTTTTTTTTTATTTAATTAATTTTTTATTTAACTGTTTATTTTATTTATTTATTTGTTCATTTCTTTTCTTGTTGCCTTAGGGTTTTGTGTTCGGAAATATTTTTCGACATCGCATGCATTCACATTAATTTAATTTATTGTTAATGCCTAATTAAACTGTGTAAAAAAACATGCTTGTTTAACTTCATTTTCTAGGGGTATAAATGCATAGTTTCTTCAGAAACATTTTGATTTTTTGGGATTATTTATGTAATTAACTTTTTGACATATTTTATCGTAGGGATCTTTTTGCAATTATTTTTTTTGAGATATTTAGAAGAGGGACCATTTTACAATTTTTTAAAAGTGTGACAAGTGTCACCTTTTCCTTGGACCATTTGTTGACTTTTGGTTGGAGATACTTGGAAGCTTAGGATTGTAACAAGTGTAAGGTGTAGATTTAACCTAGTAAGGGTGCATTGGATGGTGACAAGTGGAGGGGTGTGATGTGTGTGTGCGCGTGAGTGGTAGTGTTCGTATAGTATTTGTGACTATCAACTTCATTAGTTGGTGGAAATTCTAGTAAAATCACTTTATCTTCCTCACCTCTCACCTAACCCACCATTGAAGCTTGAAAACCTAGGCTTGAAAGCTTGAATCTAACCCTCTTCCACTAAGCTTTTGGTCTTGCACTTGGAAGACAAAAGCTTCCCCTCACTTTCCTCTAAAACACCATATCTTGGATTCCATTTTTGCTTCCATTTTTCCTTGGTTTCAAGAGATACAATTCTCTAGTGAGGTATGGTGTAATACCCCTAATTTTAAAAGGATAGTCTCGGTATTTATTTATTTCTTTTATTTACATTTTTATATTATTTATTTGATTTCTTGGTTATTTGTTTAATTGTTTATTTGAATTAATTGTGTATGTGGTTATTTGACATAAGTTGTTGATTTATTTGTATGATAAATGATTAGCATTTGTTTGTATATATGTTAGGTGTCTAATTAAAATTAATTGTTAAAAACTAAATCATTTAAATGATTTTTTTATTTTATTTTAATATTTATTTTTAATGATGGACTTGGATAGTAGTATTGGACCACCCAATGGGTCACATGGACTACTTGTATAGGATTATTTTTGGGTATGGATAATTACCCATGTGGTGTAGTACATATATATATGGGTATATATGTATATTTATGGATATTATATTTATTAAATTTTTAAATGATTAATATTAATAATTATAGTTGGTTGTGTGTGTGTGTGTGTATATATATATATATATATATATATATATATATATATATATATAGTTATACATTAAATGTATATATATATGTTTTATCACATACAAACTTATATGTATTTATTCTTTTATTTTTATTTCTCTTTTATTTTATTTCCTTCTCCTTAGGTAATTAGAAATAGGTTAAATTATAATTGCCTATATATATATCATTATATGTCTGACAAGGGTTAAAAACCCTATTCACGTATATAGAGAGGTTTTAGAGAAAACTGAGAGAATAAGTTAAGGTTTTGGCCATAGATTGAAGGTCGGACCAAGGAGGAAGGGAGAAGGTCTATTTATGGGTTGAATCAGGAGTAGCAGAGGGGTTTAACAGCAGTTAAGGAGTCACCGGTTTATTTAGAGAAGACGGTTTAAGGTTTTAAACTGAAACCAAAGGCAAGTTCTTTCTCTTACTCATTCCCTTAGACTTGTGTTCTGTACATGCCTAGGTAATCTCCAGGATTTAATCGGACATTAAAATTTGTCTTGTATGCATATTAGTTCAGAGTTTAAACTTTGTTATGTGTTTTTAATTGAAATTGATTTATCTTCTCAATTGTTTCATCATATGTGTTTTAATTTTTGTTAATGATGCATACTGGGTGTTTATATGAATTTCTGGGATGATTTGGGACATAGTTCGAACTTTTGGGAACCTTAACAGAGGGGTACAGAGAGATTTAACATTGCCAGAGGCGAAGAAGATGATGGGAAGTAGGGACAGAGCTGGCTCCGAAAGGAATGGAGCCGGCTCCCTTTATTTTTCTATACGGCTCTTTGAGAGAGAGAGAGCCAGCTTTCTAATGGAGGGAGCTGGCTCCATAAGAGAGAGAGAGCCGGCTCTCTAGTAGGGAGAGCCAGCTCCATGAAGGGAGAGCCGGCTCCCTTTTTAGGGGAGGTGGCTCCCTTACTGGGAATACACCAGTAGGTGTATTTTTGATTTTTTTTTTTTTTGGGTCTTCAGGGGCTATAATGTGATTCTGAACTTTCATGGGGGGTTTTAAATGATTTATATAAACATGTTAAAATCCCAGAATTATTAATCTATGCTATTATGCTAATATATTGGACATTATGAAATTTAAATACTGAATTGTATACTGTCAATGATTATGGAAGATTTAATTGCTTGTTGTTGTTC